AATTCCTGGGCTCCCCCGGTGGTCGCCATGGCTGTGATGTGTATTGAAGTTCTCCGAGGCGATATGAATAGTCTCCTGCGACGGGGTGAAAGTGTCGTGCCGAGTGTGATTCTCGTCAATTGTTGAAATAGTAGCTTGGCTCTTCTATTCATCCAGACAAACAGGCCGAATGTGCAGGACGGTTCTCATATACCTGATGAGGGGTTCAAGAAGAGAAGGTACAGCGGGGAATGAGTCACGGGAGTCGAGTGCTGAGGCTTTGCAAGACGGTCCTGGGATGAACCGTTTCGAGTTTTCCGATGAGATTATCCTTACTCTTGGAGGGTGATGTTCTTGCCCAGCAAACCAGTCACGCCGGAAACCGCGTCCTGAGACTGTTGGTTGCCTTGGGAGCCTTGGGGATACGGCCTCAGTCCCGTTGGTGTCTCCTGCCCTGTAGTTCCAGGGGTTGAGGCCTACGAGCACAGACCTCAGCCCGCCGCCGAACAGCGCATGCGGCAGGCGGTGAGGGTGATGTCAGCGTGTTTTGCGGGGATATGCGTCACACCGAGCTTGAGGACCCCTCCATGGCAGAAAAATTCCCCTCCAAGGCGATGCCGTCGGAAAGGTCATCAGCTCGGAGAGTGCGCCACGATTGATACTAAAGAGTCTACCATTTCACGACTTTTCCAACGCATCAATTGAGGCCAAAAAAAATTCTCAACTCCGAAGGCGTTAGACTACAAGCCCGACATGGCGCAGAACCCCTACCTGCTCGCTGCCGACAACAGCCCGGCGCTGCTACCCCTCCTCCGCGAAAACCCCAGTCTTGCTTCGGGGCAAGACGAGCACGGTTACTCCCTCGTCCACGCCGCGGCAAGCTACAACCACCTCGATCTCCTGCGTACCCTCATCCAGGAGTTCAATGTGGACGTAAACTTGAAAGACGAGGACGGCGAGACTGCGTTGTTCGTCGTCGAGACGGTCGATGCTGCCAAGTGTCTTGTCGAGGAGCTTGGTGCCGATATTCACATTCGAGGCGACGATGGCGTGACACCGAGAGAAAAGATTGAGGCCGAGGCCGACTATCCTGAAGTGGCAGAGTACCTCGCTGGAGCAGAGACGGAAAGGCCGGCATCATCTTCGGCGGCGGCTGCGACGAACGGCTCGAGCGAAACGGCAGAGATGCCCCCTGTACCAGAGGGACTCGCCGTGTCTGTGGGCAGCATGGATCAGACTGCAGACGTGCCAGAAGAGGTGGATCCCGAGTTCAAGCGCCGCATCGAGGAGCTCGCGGGACGAGAGGATTTCCACACGCCAGAGGGCCAGGCAGAGCTGAGGCGACTGGTGGAGGAAGCGGTGCTCGGCGAGGGCCTCGCCGATGAGAGGAGCGTTCGCCAACGACAGGATTAGTGCTCTCAAGCCTCTTGACCTTGGATCTCCCACATAAGATAGTGTCCCGCGGCATCGGGTGGTCGAAGAAAGGAGATTTCGGCGCTCTCATTGACGATGCCCTTGGAAAAGGACGTGGCGCTGAAGGAGATCCAAGCCCGCGAGGGCACCGTCGCGAGAACGTCGATGAGAAGCTGACGTACCCAGTCGGCTGTCAGGAGACCCTTCCAGGTAATCTTGCATACCCTGGCTCTCGACACCGTTTCCGAATCGTTGGGGACCTGGTATCGCGACAGGTACGAGTTGATGTCATCGCCTACAGCAACACGAGGGCTCTCGAGGCGCACCAGTGAAAGCCACTCGTACGTCTCGCTGGCAAACTCTTCGAGACCATGCCGATCGCCTTGGGCAAGAACCTCAAAAGGAACGTTCAGTGCCGGCGCTACAACGTCAGCGCCATTCACGAGGCCCGGACGCGAGGTGAATTTGATCGGCGCGAGCTGCTCCATGGGGTCGGGCGAGGGTGCTACGGAATATTAGCGGGCTGACGTTCAGTCTTTGGACGAGACGCACTGGAGCCAAGGTTGGCAAATAGCCAGGTAACTGGCTGCTTCAAAACGTTTCTGCAGGCATATAGCAAGCGATCGAACCCTTTCTTGCCGTGAAACATCGACTCATCGCGTAATTGGTAGCTCACAACTGACTTTTTGTCAATATATCGGAACATAGAACTCTGGCGCCGGTGACTTACTCCATCTCGGTTTCAAGCCCCTCTTGCCCTTGACGCCGTACGGCTTCCCTACGAGGCCAGCTCGTTCGTAGGTTTCCTTGTCCATGTACATGGTGAGGAGGCCTGCACGGTTAGCTTGGAGTAGATCAGGGCATGTAGTCACTTACCTTCACGCAATGAAAACATGTTGTCGTCCGTGGTCCGTCCCTCGGACAGCATGAGAACATTTCCTGTTTCTGGTAAGCCTGTGACATGTTTCGACTTCCTAACCCATAGTTACCCTTCTTCATGTATTCGAGAAAGAAGGCGCCATCGAGGATCTGCCCAAGAGTCATGGTGACGCGTTGGTAGACGGGGGCATCGTGTTGCTCAACCAACTTTCGTTTGACAAGCTCGTAGCACGCCTCTGGCACAACAAGATCGACCTTGACGGGTCAGACTTTGTCCAAATCATGATGGGTGGACACCCACCTGGTGATTGAAGCCCTGGGCCATGATGGAGTTCCATGGCTTCCCCTTCGTCGGCAGCTGCTTAGGCTCAACATGGGCCATTGTACCGTACGTGACGGAACATCGCGGCGACTGGTAGAGACTCGGCTCTGCAAAGGACAGCATTTTTGCAACGCCGCCAGTGACCGTCTTTCTCTGAATGTCTGGGTGGTCCCCAGTGGTGGTTGAGTTAGACGACCAGTGCGGTAGAGGGGAGGTTCCACAGTGAAGATTTTACCCCGCTGATTGGTCGCGCAAATGTCTGCCACAGAACTGAATCAGCAGAAGGGTCATGGTCTGCTCACGAACTCACTCAAGATCTAGTCTTTTCTTCACTTTCAAGTAAATCCACCAGAAACTGCACATCATTGAGTAGTCGAGGCTCGCGAGAGCTGTTTACGAAACCTTCGGGTCGAGACCACGCGTGGACGATCGCTGATTTTGGACGGGCGCATAGCTGCGAAATATTCACTGAATTCTCAACAGACCCCTCACGTTGCTCTCAAAATGGATTATCTTGTCCGCTTCAGCCAGTTCCACGAGTCGTTCCGGCTGGCCGAGCTCAAGGCTCTGGCTGTTGTCGAAGGCATCGATCTCAAAATTCTGGAATACTCCGATGATGTGCGCCCGATTTCCCCCCCTCTGCTAGCCTACACATATCTCGAAGAAACAGTGTATACTGACTAACACCAGCACCCCTTTTGCATCATCAATGTCCCCTCGGCAGACGCAGCCCGCGCCCTCATCCGCCGCGCCATCCTCATACAGTCCATCCACGAGCTCTGGGGCTATGCCCCGTCGGGCCTCTACGAGGACATCCACGCCGACGTGCGCGCCCGTACCGAGCCCCTCTGGTCCTCCTACGCAACCTGCTCCTTCAAATTCATCATCGACGCCTTCCAGCATACGCGCACGATGGATGAGCGCGTCCAGCTCATCAACTCATTCTCCTACCTCGCTTTTCAGGGCCGCATCGACATGCGCGACCCGGACGAGACGTTCACCATTTTCGAGGATTGGCCGTTTCGTCCCGCCGGCGTCCGCCCGGAGCCGAACCCACGGCGTCTCTTCCTCGGCCGCTGGCTCGGCGGCGGCTCACGCGAGCTGTGCCGCACCTACGACCTCAAGAAGCGCGGCTACATCAGCACGACGTCCATGGACTCGGAGCTCGCCCTCGTGACGGCCAACATGGCGCTCGCCGCCCCTGGCAAGATCTTCTACGACCCCTTTGTCGGCACGGGGAGCTTCCCCGTCGCGGCGGCCCACTTTGGCGCGCTCGCCTTCGGCAGCGACATTGACGGGCGGAGTTTCAGGGGCCAGGGCGGGCAGAGGAGCCTCAAGGGCAATTTCGCGCAGTACGGGCTCGACAAGCTTGTCGGCGAGTTCTTCACGGCAGACCTGACGAATACGCCGCTCGTCAGGCGGCGGTGGATGGACGGCATCGTGTGTGACCCGCCCTATGGCGTGCGGGAGGGCCTCAAGGTACTTGGGTGTCGGGACCCGGAGAAGACGCCGAACGTCATTGTTGCGGGTGAAAAGTACTGGAAGTGAGTTGGCCCCCCCCCCTTTTTTTTTCTCTTTGGCGATTTCTTTTGTGCAATCGTTTGCTGATCGTCACAAGCTCACCCAGCTACATTGCGCCGAAAAAGCCGTACAGCTTTCTAGCCATGTTGGACGACATTCTCGAGTTTGCCACCCAAATGCTCGTGGACGAGGGCCGCCTGTCGTTCTGGATGCCCACGGCCAACGACGAGGACCAGGAGCTCAGCGTACCGACGCACCCATGTCTCGAGATTGTGTCTGTCTGCGTCCAGCCGTTCAACCGATGTATGTTCGGTGACTCTATCTCCACCCCTGTTTAGTCCCGCTTACTGACACCCGCAGGGTCTCGACGCCTCATCACATATCGGCGCATGCCGGACAGCCAGGTCGACCAGGAAAAGCTGGCAGTGCACAAACGTGCGAAACATGAGGGCGTGACGGCAGATGAACTGAACCCGTTCCGAGAGAGGTACTTCAAAGGGTTCAAAAAGGAAGAGGCATGAAGAAAAAAGATATACAGCAACTATACCCCGTCGTATGGCCGCAGCCTCGAAATGGACCGGCTCATCATCGTCTCGTTCCGTTTCCGCTGATATCATCCAAATCATGCTCATCTGCCGTCTGCCCCGAAGCTACCGTGCCCTTGATTAAGACCGGTGCGCCCCGCCGCTACCTGAACTCCATCGCGCCGAAGCATCCCTTGTCTTCGACATGCTTGAGCTCTAGCTGCTGGAACCTGGGATTTCTGTCAGCATTTTTTTCGTCACGCAGCGCTGCGATGCTTACTTCTCGCTCTTCGAGTGAAAGTATATCCCGCTCACTTCACCCTTGACCTGGTTGAAGCAGATGTAGTAGAAGCCTTCAAAGCTGGCGCCACTGATGGTGCGCACTCGGTGATCGGGGACCAGGAAATGTTCTTTCCACCGCATAAAAATGTTCTCACACTGCGCCACATCACGGACGCTCACCGGTCCTTTTCGTGCCTGTTTCTGAAAGGGTCGGAACGCCGCAACTTGCCCCAGTGGTTGAGGTCGATCTTGTTGGTGGCACCCCAGGTATCGTGGTTTGTGAAGAAGTTGTATTTGGTGCCGATGATCTCGCCTTCAAAATATGTCGTCAGAGTCGGATGGTCTTCAGTGAGGCCTGTGGTTCTTGCGTCAGTAGTGATCAACTCGGACTCGGCAAACGCGCTGACCTTGGATCCGGAGATAGCCACAAAGAAAAGACTCCTTCAGGTCGACGTGCTTGATTTCCACTTGCACATCGTAGACTTGTCTCTCCGACTGTTGCGTGCCGTGAAATTTGCTTCCCGGTCGCAAAAAGGACGATGGAGAGGTGGGGATTGTCTACATCGTCAGTCAGCTGTTAGCCGTGCGTCAAGAAGAATATCACGAACCCTCAAGCTGGGGTAATCTGGTCCCCTGGAGGGCGCCATTAACTCCTCCTCATCACCCATCATCACGTGCACGACATCGCTTCCCTTGCCAGGGCCCGCGTCTTGTACATGGGACGCAGGGTGGGATGATCGTCCCGTCCCGCTGGCACCGCTTTCTCCGTCGTGTAGACGCAGCCCCTCCACGGTCGTCTGGTGTTCGTCTTCGTCAACCTCCATCTGCTTGAAGACATCAAAGTCGGTCCCTGGGCCTGGTGTCGTCCGAGATGTGACTGTCGACTCGGGTGCTGGCGACATGGTGGTTGCCCTCGAGGATATCGCCGATGTGGGTTCGTCTTCAATCATGCTCTCCGTAATGTGGCTCGTCTGCGAGGAGACCTCAACGACAGGGACGACAGGGGTTTCCTCGGAGCCCCCGCCTGCGGCGTGCAGGCTTCCCTCGCCGGTTTCGACTGGTATTTGCGAACTACGTGACGATGATCGCGTGCCTGTGTCCTCTGGGCAGGTGTGGTACGAACGCGGCGAGTGAGGGCCAGGTGGAGGGTTTGGGGAGGGAGTAGGCATGGTAGGGAGGTTGTGTGTTGGAGAAGCGATCCTCGGCGAAACGGATCGCTGTGGTTGCGGTGAAGGATGTGGTTTCGCGAGTGTTGTTGGCGCAAGTCGTCGAGGGATAAATCGGCAGGACTCGTATATGTGTGTTTGGTTCAAGACTCAAGAATCGCAGAGTGACTCAATGTCGATTTACAGAATGGAGAGTCGTCGTTCGTATGGGTGGTTGTCCAGTCTCTTACAGAATGGCCGAGAGAGTGAGAGAGAGGATCACAGCTTGCCAAGCAAGATGTGGCGGTCGGGGATACGCAACTGCATTGGCTGCGCAGTTGGAGCAGGATGGACCGTTCAGGTGGTTGAGGGCGACATGGAGGAAGATCTGGCCAAGGGTCATGCAGTCGATCGATGGCCTGGCGAGAGCTGAAGGAAGAGAGACCAGACGTCGAGATGACCCGTCTGGAAGTGTCTGTGTATGCTGCCCTCTGCGAGGTGAATTCGGCAAGACACGGGTAATGTAAATTGGGCGAGTCGCAACGCGATCTGAGTGCAAGGTAGGACAGATGCAGGGTAAGACAGAGCAGAGTTGGGTTCAGCCCAGCAGATGGGGTGCGATCGAATTGGAACGGGCTCAGTTGGACATGGGCACGCTGGATGGGACAGCCTGGGGGAGGGAGTGAGTGCCTCGCTTTCCCTGGTCGGTAACGTGCTTGAACTGGCGGCGACAAGCCGATGACGCCCCCTACGGGGCACTACGGGGGGCGGCCTTCTGGTCTGGTTGGGCTAAGGCCTGGAGAAACTCCCTGAGAAGCTGAAGCTGATTGGACCCCCACGTCGCCATTCTGCGTGTTCTGGCCCGGCGGCCCACTACCCACCACACCTTACCTCACTTTGTCGCTTTGCCGGCGGGCGGCCGGGTTGGGCGCAGGGTCCTGGGCTGCTGTGCTTCTTTCCATGGCAATCCCGGGGTGTCGTTCAAGGTGGACTGGCTTGCGTGCAGCATGTGGGACCGCGTCTTGACGGGACATGACGATAAGTAAAAGCTTCAGGAAATGCGACTGGAGATGCTCAGGTGCAAAAACACCCGTCTAGTGGGCTTTGGTCGTGGCGAGGTCTCACAACATATGACGCCTGCCCCCGTGTGACAACGGCGCACTGGGGAAGGAGAGCCACAGCGCCCAGGAACCACGAGGCCTGCCGTTTCTAGCCATGACAAGAGTTTCACAGCAACGCAAACATCAAGCCACTGCCACAACAGGGCCCTACCAAGGTTTTGTCCGCCATGACGCACGCATGCACTGCTCTCACAACTTGGCATCGCGATCATCAACATCAACTGTGCTGTAGCTCCCGTGCCTCCATCAAATGTAAAAGTTTCGTTCATTCATACTGCGTCTCCCCCTGTCTTGATAGAGAGCCACGCAAGATATCTCGTCAGAGGTGTCTTTGGAGTGCCTGCAGGTCGGCTGCTCACCGCTCACTGCTCCTGATGCCTAATACTCGGATCCAGCTCTTCGTCTGGGGTATCATTTTTGTTTCCGCGTCGCCGTTCTTTTGTCCGTCACACTGCACCCCGTCTAGATCGGCTTGATCTTGAAGTGAAGGGCGATTAGGCTGAATACCAACGCCTTGAGGTCCTGCACCAGATAGTAGAAGACACGCAGGCCTTCCGGGTCCGCTGACTCGGTCACGTCCACGAGGGAGCCAATCTTGGCCGTCTGTACAAGCCTGTCAGTCCAGTCGCCAGTCGCATTCGAACCAACGGGCCATACCTCGAAGGAAATGTGATCGTTGCCGAGACGAATCTCGAGCTCCTGGCGCCCGTCCTTGTTCTTCTGCGGCCACTTCGAGTCGTCTTCCCTGTGGGGGGGTCAGCCATAGCTCGCTTTGACCGATTCGGTTTATCTCCTGAGTCCATCGCAACATACTTCATGATCTCGCTCGACTTGATGATGCGCCGGATCTCTTCAATAACCAGCGAGCTGACACACACTGTACACCATACATCAGTCTCCCTGCCTAGGTTTCGTAGAAGTTGTTGTCGTACTCTCTTTGCGGATCAAGCTGTCGTTTCGGTAGTTCGAGTTGTTGGCGTACCGCGCGATCGCACTGCGGCCGTCGCCAACTACGCGAAAGTCGAACTCTGCGGGTGCACCGGGTCAGCTTTGTCTCCAGCCAAAAAGCATCGACGTGGGCGAACCGAGAAACTCATGGCCAAAGCGTCCAGAGTGGCCGGAGCTATGCATTGTTAGTTTGACAGCCATCAGACTCCGGAGACTGTCGTACTAGTATCTCATGTAAAAGGTATCGCTCGTGTCCGCCATTGTGTCGCTCGGCAATGGCCTTGTTTGTCGGTCGTCGAGGGTGGAATCTGCAAGGCTGGCGTGGGGGAGCTCGAGTGAACAAGGCTCGCCTTGACCCAGCACAACTGGAGAGTGGGTTGCTGTGGTGTGGCGGGGCCAACAGGACCCCACCATGGACGCGCACCAGGCACGCCCTTTAATCCGCTCCGAATCCAGGGGTGGGTGGCTCGACTTTACAGAAGGCAGATCACGTGCATTCAATTCGCTTAGTGACAGGTGTTCGGCGAGACCAGGAGGTAGGCCAGATGTCCACGAAGCTCCGACAGCCCAACTGGTGAAAGTCGCATTCGCTCCAAACCCGCCTCTATCAATATCAGTCTCCAAAGGGAGCTTCTTGGAAGTGCGCATTCGCGACGGATGGTCATATTCAAAGCCCACAGCCATCAGAGCTCGGCCGGCGGAAAGCTCCCCTAACAATTTCGAACTACATTGGACACACCACCCCCCCGGCTCCCCACCGCCCAGCTGGCCGCATCCCACTTGGACCAGGTATCGCCTGAACCTCCCCCTTTGAACACGTCCACCGAAGAAACACACAACCCCCTCCTCTCCCCGCCACCCACTGCGCGCCGGCATCTGCCCGCAACCCACCGCACATCATGGCTTCATTTCTCGATCATGCCTACAGCTTGGTCCACCAGGACAACACGGCCGACGTGCCGACCCTGGCCGATCTCAAGACGCAGCTGGAAAAGGGGACCGACGAAAGCAAGGTCGAGACGATGAAGCGCATCCTCACCATTATGCTCAACGGCGACTCGATGCCCCAGCTCCTGATGCACATTATCCGATTCGTCATGCCCTCGAAGCACAAGGCCCTGAAGAAGATGCTCTACTTTTACTACGAGATCTGCCCCAAGCTTGACTCCACTGGCAAGCTCAAGCAGGAGATGATCCTGGTTTGGTGCGTCTGACGATGTATTTCCTCAAAGCGAAACTATACTGACCATGGTGGGCTGCAGCAACGGCATCAGGAACGATCTTCAACATCCCAACGAATACATTCGCGGCAACACCCTGCGCTTCCTCTGCAAGCTCCGCGAGCCCGAGCTCATCGAGCCCCTCCTGTCCTCCGCAAGGCAATGTCTGGAGCACCGCCACGCCTACGTTCGCAAGAATGCCGTCTTTGCCGTTGCCTCCATCTTCCAGCACTCTCCTTCGCTCATCCCTGACGCGCCCGAACTCATCAGCACCTTCCTCGAGGCCGAGACCGACCCCACATGCAAGAGGAATGCGTTTGCCGCCCTGTCCTCTATCGACCACGAGAGGGCTCTCGTTTACCTCAGCCAGGTCTTTGACGGCATCCCGAACGCAGAGGAGCTCCTTCAGCTGGTGGAGCTCGAGTTTATCCGCAAGGATGCTGTGCAGAACTCCCAGAACAAGCCGCGGTATCTGCGTCTCATCTTTGACCTGCTCGAGGCCAACACGTCTACTGTCGTATACGAGGCCGCCTCGTCCCTGACCGCCCTCACGAACAACCCTGTTGCCGTCAAGGCCGCCGCCGCCAAGTTCATTGAGCTCAGCATCAAGGAGGCCGACAACAATGTGAAGCTGATCGTTCTCGATCGCGTCGATCAGCTGCGCAGGAAGAGCCCCGGCGTTCTCGACGACTCGGTCATGGAAATCCTGCGTGTGCTGTCCAGCCCCGATATCGACGTCAGGAGGAAAGCGCTCAACCTGGTTCTCGACATGGTGTCGAGCAAGAACGTCGAGGAAGTTGTCTTGTTGCTGAAGAAGGAGCTGTCCAAGACGGTCGACCAGGAGTATGAGAAGAACACGGAATACCGCCAGCTCCTGATCCACTCCATCCACCAGTGCGCCATCAAGTTCTCCGAGGTGGCGGCCAGCGTCGTTGAGCTGCTGATGGACTTTGTCGCCGACTTTAACAACGCGTCTGCAGTCGATGTCATCAACTTTGTCAAGGAGGTCGTGGAAAAGTTCCCCAAGCTTCGCAAGCCCATCGTTGCCAGGCTCGTCGCCACGCTGGGCGAGGTTCGCGCTGGCAAGGTCTACCGGGGCATCATGTGGATCATTGGTGAATACTCCCTCGACGAGGGTGACGTTCGGGATGCTTGGAAGAGGATACGCGCGAGTCTCGGCGAGATCCCCATCCTTGCCTCGGAACAACGACTGCTGGATGATAATGACGACGAGAAGAAGGAGGAGGAGCAGGTCAACGGACATTCGAAGCCCGCGGCGCCCTCTGGCTCGCGCAAGGTGTTGGCAGATGGAACCTACGCGACCGAGACTGCCCTCACAAGCCAGTCGTCGGCGGCAGCGAAGCTCGAGGCCGTCAAGGCGGCTCAGAAGCCACCGCTGAGACAGCTCATCCTCGATGGCGACTACTATCTCGCCACTGTTCTATCAGCCACCCTGACCAAGCTCGTCATGAGGCACGCACAGATCTCCAAGGATACCGCCCGCACCAACGCCCTGAGGGGCGAGGCCATGCTCATCATGATCTCCATCATTCGCGTGGGCCAGTCTCAGTTTGTCAAGGCCCCCATTGACGAGGACTCTGTCGACCGTATCATGTCCGGTGTGCGGTCACTGTCCGAGTTCACCCAGCACAAGCAGATTGAGACGGTGTATCTGGACGACACGCGAAAGGCCTTCCGCGCCATGGTGCAAGCGGAAGAGAAGAAGCGCGCGGCAAAGGAGGCCGTCGAGAAGGCCAAGACGGCCATCCAGGTCGATGATGTGGTCCAGATCCGGCAATTGTCGAAGAAGAACGCGGGCAGCGGCGTGGACGAGATTGACATTGACCTCGAGCGGGCCACGGGCGGCGAGTCGGCCGCTGAGGATGTGTCGTCCAAGCTCAGCAGGGTAGTCCAGCTCACCGGTTTCTCCGATCCCGTATACGCCGAGACGTATGTCACGGTGCATCAGTTTGATATTGTTCTCGACGTCCTGCTCGTCAACCAGACGTCGGAGACGCTGCAGAACCTGTCGGTCGAGTTTGCGACGCTGGGCGACCTCAAGGTGGTCGAGAGGCCAACGACGCAGAACCTGGGCCCGCACGGCTTCCACAACGTGCAATGCACGATCAAGGTGTCTTCAACGGACACGGGCGTCATTTTCGGCAACGTAGTCTACGACGGCGCGCACTCGACGGATACCAACGTGGTCATCCTCAACGATGTGCACGTCGACATAATGGACTACATCCAGCCGGCGTCGTGCACGGAGACGCAGTTCCGCACCATGTGGACCGAGTTTGAGTGGAGAACAAGGTCAACATCAACTCAGGCGAAGACGCTGCGCGACTTCCTCGAGCAGCTCATGGCAGCGACCAACATGAACTGGAA